ACGGACTAGACACTCCAGGAGTCGGCTTGACAGTTAACGCTTTTAACCATCCAACTCTTAAATCTGATGAACAGATAAGAATGAGTAAATAATACCTAATACTAGGATAATACTGCCCCACTGCTGTGCAAAGGCCTCTGGCTTAGCTTTCCATTTACTCCCATTGAGTTGGGGATTGATACGTATTTTTACATAAAAGTTACACTATTAAAAGCACACACATAAAGTTTCAATATGCGGAAACACGTACTTTTTGAGAAAAAACATTATTTGAAAATTAATTATTTTTACAATGTTTATGTTACATTCCTAGCGTAAAACTGGCGCCATTTTGTAATGTCATTGTCGTCGTCAGTACGGATGTCGATTCTTTCCGAAAAAGATAGATTTTTAAATCGATTCTAATAGTAAGCTGTCATGATATCACAAAACATGGATTTCTATAATATAGATATATTTTCCTGTTTGCATTTATAAGATACCATAATAAATGACTTCTTATGGAAAAAAAGAAAGATAATACAATAAATGATCTCTTGATTTGATTTGTTTTGTTTTATTTTAACAGTACCTATTAGGGCAGATAATAAATAAAATAGGTTAGGTTCTACTTATGTCAAAGAACCAAATTTATTGACCCCGACTCCACGTGGTACGAGTCTGTCCTACCCCTAGAGTGGTTATATAGAACCGGAGGCGCGTAGGGGGAGTAGCCTCCGCCTGCTGTAACAAATCGTCCTCGCCTCCGAAGCTTCGGCTTGTTGGTCGCCTTCGGCGGCCAGCCTCAGCCGCTCCGGCTCGTCCGATGCCTGCGATTTGTTACGCAAAGGCGTAGAGGCTGCTCTTCCCGCAGCGCTGGAGACGTTGCAGTCTCAAAATATATACAGAAATCCCTCTGAATTAGTCCCCCTACACCTCTTCTCCCCCCCCCCCCTCTCCCCTCAATTCAACGAATGTCAATGGAAATTCGTAATAAAGTAGGCTCAAAAGGGCTAGAACCCAGAGCCGTAAAGCCAGTTAAAAAAAAAACAACATAATATTGTTAAAATAAGTGATTTTTATTAATTTATTTCTCAAAAAATACGTGTTTCCGCATATTGAAACTTTGTGTGTGTGCTTATAAAAATGTAACCTTTCTGTAAAAATACGTATCAACACCAAACTCGATGGGAGTAAATGGAAAGTCGTACCAAGACCTCGTCATATAGCAGAAGCCATGAGCATTCATCACCATGCTTAGTCAAGATGGGTTGGCGACATTGAGTTATATGTACTACGTACTCTCAAGCCATTCCAAACAAAAATTGTGTCCTACTCTATGTCTTCGCGCATGCACGGGAGATAGTAGTCGCCGTTGAGCGAAGACTTTAATTTGATATAAAATAAGATATTAATATAAAATAAAGATAAGAATTTAATATAAAATAAATATAAGAATTTAATATAAAATATCTTAATTTAGTCAAAACAAACATATATCTATTATTTTATGGAATTCGCAAATCTTTAATTTACACAATATTTAGTTTGTATGGATTGCACTACAGTTTAGTTGAACATAGTCAATGTTCGGAATGGCTTCTCTAGTACGTAGTACATATAACTCAATGGTTGGCGATTTCAGACTTTTATTGATTATTCCTAAGCATTGAAAAACATATTGGTAGTTACCCGGATTTAAGTTCACAGACGTGTAACTTCTGGGCCATCACGACATAAATAGATGACAAAAAGAACCACCTACCTACATGTTTTTTGGAAAGGACAGGGAAATTAAATAAAAGACAGGATTTGATTATTTATTCAATATCTTCTCGTACAACCACTTCATCTAAAAATGCCACTGGAGGTACAATGTTGATTTCATGCCTGACCCAACCTAAGTACCACACTAACGTCATAACATGCGCACAACAACCTACAGTGCAATGTCTATAATGCCTTCTCGTCCATTGAGTATGACCACGGCGAGATGAACCAGCAGATGGATCACACTAATTTTTTCCATGAATCTGAGCATTAATAGTCAGCAAAGATACATCAAAGCACGCTTCATAAATGTAATCTTCTTCCTTTATCTGAAAAACAAATCAATTATGAGATTTTAAAGCATAAAATAGAAATAAGTATATTTCATTTATATTTTACATGTTTTTATTTAGAGAGCTGTCTAAAAGAATACTTTAGCTAAACATGGGGAAAATCTCTAAATAAATAACACATTCACCTATTTCTACCACTTGTCAGGTTATTCTACTCCTAGAGTCTGATGTCAAAATACCCTTGTCTGTGCAACCTACTCTTGAAGTCTTATGTGCCTCGACATACTTTGATTTAATTTGAAAAAATATAACACACTTCTGTGAATATTAATCATTTTTATAAAACAATCATCTGTTCGTCTGTTGACTGGGTAGGTAGATACATTTTTTATATATTATAGTGTGACAAACGAGCACACAGTCCACATGATGGTAATTGGTTGAGGTGGCCTATAGACATCTACATCTGTCTTCAATAAAGAATCAAAATGCAGATGCGTTGTCAACCGTGAGGACAAAGATGGAATGCCTCTTTTCCAGTAAAAAGGATCTCCGGTTCACTACACTCACCATACGAAACACAAGTGTTAAGCTGCTATTTTATGCTGGTATTCTGTGGGAGCGTGGTCCTTCCCCAGTCAAACCGAATAATTCGTGCTACAACTATACTACTAATACAGCTGCAGCATGGCTCCATCACGTAAATCCACTAATAAAAAATGTAGATTTTTACATATACGTCTGTTAACTGGATACTAAATTGTTAGGTACTTTATAATACTTACTATTACTGTAGATATCTAAGTGCTAATTAGCGAGATGACTCTGCTATCAAGCTGAAAGTTCCGATAACGCTGAAGCGTATTAACTAGGCGTGTGTATCTCTTTACGGAAACGACTCACTGATACGAATCACTGAAGTGACACAAAATATTGGTTCAGTAACAACGTTTCAAATGTATCATTTGTATCTGGAACAGTGAAACATTACTTTGCTCTTTGCTCATTTCGTCGCTCTTGCGAGGCGACTGAGCCACGAGCGAGAGAGAGAGACTGAGACAATGATTAACTTAACTATTGACTCACGAGTGGCGAGTGAGCGGGCGAAATAATTATAATTCACACAAGTCAGATAGAGATAACAAATAAGAAGTGTATCACTCAACAAGTACGGATTTTCGCTGACGTTATTCATGCACGTAAAAATTACCACTAAGGCGCTTATGTGTCAAATACTATACGGTCGTTTTTTGTATGTAACGTTTGCATTAACAAGTTGTCATTTTACGTTGATGCGGCACTTGTCAAATTGTTTATATTCATTAGCGCCTGTTTACGAAAACATTTCAAATTCAAATTCATTTATTTATTTGTGAATACAGTAAGTTAGGTGTTCGTAAAATTTACATTAGGTATCGTGTATTCTACCACAGTGTGGTGTACAAATAAAACATACTGAGTTATGTTTAGGATTTCTTTGCGTAGTGATTATTGTGACTTTACTTTCTTCCTTTTCATCATAAAGTTTAGAGTTATGATACTTTACGAGTAAATTTTGTGTACATAGACATTGCTGTTTTGTGTAAATGGACATTTTTGTAAATAATGAATTGACATAGTGACATTTTTGATAAAGTATGAAGGAGAATCGATTTTATATACAATCTTATTACGGTACACAATAAATAATCTAAGCACTTATATTATTCAGCATTGTTGCCACATAATATTTCACGGATCAGTCAGTAATAAACGCCCGCGACGCAACTTAACGTATTCGGAACATTCTTTCTTTTATATCTTTTGAGTCGATGATACAAATGAGCCAAATGAAACATATCAGTGTTTCGGAATATTTCAGTGATCAAGATGCAAATGTTCCAATCCCAAAAATGATACACTTTGCCCACCTCCAGTATTAACACATATGTTGCAGTTTATATACAGCAATCTCGTAGACGGCTCCATAACTTTTTCCAAGAAGAGCAATAACGTCTTAGATCTTAATAAAAAAGTACTAAACCGGTATACGTATAATACAAGCTAAAGTAATCGTAAATGAAAGGTATCGAAGTCCGTGGAAAATGCAAAAGTTGTAAGGTTATCAGAAAATCCAAAATAGCACAGTACAATACGTATTACGTAGCGAGAGCAAACGAACACAGACTAATATAATACTACGTATATGGATATGGCAAACGAACGACTGCGAAACGTCAAACAAATGAATGCCTGTCATTCATTTTTCAATCTTTATTTTTATATTTTTGGGATGGCTTCTGGTCCTTTGCGCCATTGTTAAACACGTTCCGTCTCCAAAAGTCTATTGAGAATGATAAACATAGTAACATTACTTTTTTTCCTGACTTTATTTGAAAATTCAATTATGCGATACGCAATAAGCAAAAAAAAAATCAATTTTATAAGATGTTTTGCATCATTTGTGACGTGTTAGAAAATTTTCAGGTCAAAACTGGAAATGCTTCTTTTCACTCAAACAAAAACAATAAATTAAAAAAAAAACTATAGCAGTCAGTTGACGTTACATACATGGTGGAGTCATGCTGCAGCTATATTAGTAGTGTAGTTGTAGCACGAATGGGTCGGCTCGACCGGAGAAGGACCACGCTCTCACAGAATACCAGCGTAAAATAGCAGCTTAACACTGCTGTGTTTCGTATGATGAGTGTAGAGAACCGGAGATCCTTTTTACTTGAAAAGAGGCATTCCATCTTCGTTCTCACAGGTGACAATGCATCTGTATTTTGATTTTTTATGTAGATGTCTATGGGTTGTAGCTACCAATTACCATCAGGTGGACTGTGTGCTCGTTTGTCACCTTATCATATAAAAAATATAATATTAAGCAATGGAATAGAATAATAAACCGATGAAATTAATTAATTTGTGGTTAAAAAAAAATGTTTGAGTAACAAATATACGATGTGTGGTGTGTAGAATAACACGACGGTGCGGGTGGTGCTGCCGGCGCGGCTGCAGTGGTGCGGCGGCGCGCGCGCGGCCCGGCGCCTGCGCGCGCTGGCCGCCTCCGCGCCGCTGCTGCTGCTCGACGCCACACACTTACACCATATCGACCTCAACGTCGCCGAGGTATGTCTTTTGTATACGAAGTACAGCCGTGCTGCAGCTATATTACTAGTGTACTTGTTGCACAAATGACGGCTCGATCGGGGAAGCACTACGCTTACACAATACCAACGTAAAATAGCAACGTAAAAAGCACATGTCCATCCCGGGAGTAAGCAACTCAAGGATGTGCCGAATCTGTTCGTTAACAAAAGAAACACCTCTGCATATCTTTATACCATGTTTCATACGGTGAGTGTAGAGAACCGGTGACCCCTTTTACCAGAAACAAGGCGTTCCATCTTAGTTCTCACAATGGATGACAACGCATCTGCATTTTGATTCGTAGTCAGAATAAATATTAGTATAGCTAAAAAATAAAAAAAAGTAATAGCTAAAAATTAAATAACAACAAAATTAATATTTTATGTATAACTGAACATTGGTTAAAAACTTATAACTTAATGTTTAACTTCAGTAATCACCAGGTGGTCAATTGTTGCAATAGAAAAACGGTTTTAAGAGGTGGCTCCTTAATATTAGCTAGTAAATTATTATCATGTAAAGAACGTAAAGATCTTGTGAGCCTCTCTGTTGAGCAAACTGTAGAAATGGCATGTGTTGAATTTGAGCACCTCATTGTTGTAAACGTCTAAAGACCCCCATGTTCTATATACAATACTTTTGGAAAATTATGGAGGATATTTTTGCTAAGCTTAATAAACAGAATAAATCTTTTGTAATATGTGGAGACTTTAATATCAATCTCCTAGAAGCTTCCTCCATCAATATTAAATTTAGATGATTGTTTAAATCATATTGTCTTTTTAATTTATTTTTAGAGCCAACGCATATTGCTCAATCTTGTGCAACATGTATAGATAACATTTCTACAAATGTGAAGCCGTTGCATAAATGTATAATTCAAAAATTAAATTCTGATCACTGTGGACAAGTAGTATCGTTATCTTATGTTCACAAAAAGCAAGTAGATGAGAAAGTTGTGTTTGTTCCAGTAAATGCACGTCGCTTGGAGAAATTTAGAAGTGACATAGTGAAAAAAACTTTCGTCACTTTCATACCAAAATGATCCAAATTTTTTGTATGGAACATTATTTAAGCTTATTTGCAATGAATTTAATATTGATTTTACTTCTAAAACATTCTCCTTGAACAGTCGGAAGTTATTCAATGAATGGGCGACGGTAGGAGTCCATAAAAGCAGACATAGGTTATATGATCTTTACCAAGAAAGGTCATATAATCATAGAGTCGAATTTAGGGAATATGTAAAAAAATATTTAAAAGAGTGTGCTTCACAGCCAAGTCTTTGCATATGAGCAACAAAATGAAGACGGCTTCTAATAAAATTAAAATGACATGGAGTATAATTAATAGCGAAATTGGTAAGATTAACTCTCGCAATTTAAACTACCAGTTAAGTGTTAACAACAAATTAACTGAATCAGATCAGGGCGTTGCAATGGTTTTTGAGAAATATATTACTGATATTCCGATATTAACCACTAAGTCACTGAATTATTCTGCCGTCGCCGAATCATTACTTAAAGAAAATGTAAATGCGTGTACAAAGAATTTTACATTTCATAAAGTATCATCAAAAGATATTGTAAAATATTTTAAAACTATTGATGTTAAGAAAACTGCGGATCTGTGGGGGATTTCCGTTAAAGTTATTGCGTCTATAACAGATACAATCGCGCCTCATTTAGCAATTATTTTATAATACAAGTATCGAATCTGGTGTGTTTCCTGATTTAATGAAGAATAGTAAAGTAATACCTTTATTTAAATCTGGTAGTACATTAGACCCCGCCAATTTTAGACCTATTTCTGTACTACCAACACTTAGTAAGATTTTTGAAAAAATTATTCTTGATCAAATGTTAAATTTCTTTAATATAAATAATTTACTTCATAAAAATCAATTTGGTTTCACAAGGGGTCGCCCGACATCTGATGGTGGTGTTGAGCTGATTAAATATATCTTTAATGCATGGAGAATTCACAGGATGCTTTGGGTATATTTTGTGACTTATACAAGGCCTTCGATTGTGTTCACCATGAAACATTAATAAGGAAACATCAACACTGCGGTGTAAGAAGTGATGCTCTTAAATTAATTATTTCATATTTATGTAAGAGAACGCAAAAAGTTGACATTAACAGTACGAGCTCTTCCGGGTCGATGGTACAAATGAGCGTGCCTCAAGGCTCAATTCTCTGCCCCTTTCTGTTTCTTGTGTACATTAATGACTTACCTTACATAGTAGGGGATAACCATCATATAGTATTATTTGCAGATGACACTCCTCTAATTTTCAAATTAAGTCGACAATTACTAAAATATGACGAAGTAAATAATGCTATATCTAAATTAGTAAATTGGTTTAATGTTAATAATTTGCATTTAAATTATTAACATTAGAAGAGGGCCATAAGAGCAATTTATGATTTAAAGCCTAAAGAGTCACTACGACAAAAATTTAAGGAAATTAATATATTAATTTTGGCCTCTCAATACATATATGAAAATGTAATAACGTACGTATACAAAAATAAAAATAGATTTACAAAAATAAGTGATATTCATTCTGTAAATACTAGAAACAGACACAAGCTAGTAGTACCAGTTACTCGACTCCATCGAGTCAGTAATTCATTCTTGGGTTGATGTATACGCTTTTACAACAAAATTCCAGAAAATACACAAAATTTGACCTGCTCAAAGTTCAAAAACTCTATTAAACCAAGTTTGTATAAAAAGGGTTATTATAATATTAAAGAATTTATGGATGATAATAACCCCTGGAAATGAGCTGATCGCTACCAAGCTGTTTCTAATTTGTTGTGTTGTTAATTTGTGTAATATACATGATTGTAAGCTGTTATTTTAAAAAAAAGTCCCGCTGGGTTTCTTGCTGGTTCTTCCCAGGACAGAGGTTTCTTTTTCGAACCAGTGGTAATTAAACAAAAGGGTGACTTTCATTAAGTATTATTTATATTCTATATTGAATAAAAAAGTTTCTGTTTCTGTTTATGGGCCACAGTATCCACTTACCATCAGGTTGACTATGTATTCGTTTGACACCCTATCGTATAAAAATAGAAGAATTAATAGTTTAATTACTGCTTTTAAGGTTTATACCTTTTTGCAAACAGTAATTCATAAGCAGTATAATTTAATTTGCTAACAAAAAGTTAAAGCAGTTTAAAAAGTCATATATAAAAATGCAAACAGTGAAGTAATTTACTTTACTATTAAACCACAGATTAGTTGAATCCGACAGTAAAAGTAAAATCACACGAATTAGTTGTGTCTATTGAATTTGAAGTTTTTTACTAATATACCATGTAAAACCACAGCAATTCTTAATTCTTCTATTAACGTTGCATATCGGCATTTAGCTGACAATGTTAATGTAATGTACAAAAAAGTTTAATTTGTACATTTTAATTTCAAACATGTTGTTGCCCTTACCCCATAACAACTATGGCAAATATCCCCCAATCTATGGAGGAGGCCTACGATAAACAGTAGAATTTAATAGGCCATAACGTAACGGTATGTTAATCCCCATGAGATTAGAATTATTTAACATGGGGCTGAGGTGTATTCCCTGAGATAAACTTTTACCAAGGATGTACGAGTATATATATGGACAATATTGTTCACCATATTATGCAGATTCAATGCTAACAAAACCCTTTTTTAAATATTCACATTGAATAAAAAGTATTGCCATATAATATTATGTATAAAATATGACTTAATAATGCGTAACATTGTAAAATTGTAAACAACTATTGTTTTTATTCCGTGTAGATAAAATTTCAATTTCTTTGTCGACAGGAGATAATTTCTGTGATATTAGATTTAGAGAAGCAAGGTCACAAGATCATTCTTTGGAATTTCAACGCGAAGCATCAACAGCTCTTCGAACAATTGAATCCAACCATGAGGGAGAGATTTTACACCGGGATCAGTATAGAACAAGAAGTCTTAGGTAAATATACCTACTATATATTGCAGAGACGATTTAGTAATTCTAAGGAATGCGTAGTGACATATATTTATGTAAATGTGATTCTTTTTACCCGACTGCTTCAGAAGGAGGGCAATGTTTTTTTTTGTTTGTGTGTATGTATGTCAATTTCTTTGGCACGCTCTATAGCATAAACGGGTTGATGGACCAACTCATGAGGTCGTTAGATTCGTGGAAGTCGTGGAAGTGACATATTTGAATTTTTTCCTTTGTAGTAGTCTACACAGTTGGGTTTTTTAATTACTGATTTAACTATTGAGCTTTGTTTGCCATGGTTTATGATTTTAGAATTTATACATACCACAGTTCATCTCCGTCCTCCTTGTTAGCTTGTACTTAACGTACGTACTATTTACGTACCCGCTTGCCATAGAAGCCAGGCTTGGCGATTTAAGATCATAATTGAATCTATTGAAGAATACACCAAGCAAAGATCTTTTGGGCATTTTAGATCTGGACATCTAGATGGGATAATGGATTCTCTATTGCTGCCAGCATATGGTGTACTTCTATTATTAATATTTTAAGTTGCTGTGAGTTTTTAACAGTGGTACAGGGATGGGCCGGCTCGAACCGGGGTGGTACCACGACCTCACAGAAAACCAGCGTGAAGTAGAGATTTACCTCTGCGTTTCGCTTGGTTAGTGCAGGTGGCCGGAGGCCCTTTTTACTGGAAATGAGGCATTCCATCTTAGTCCTCACGGGTGACAACGCATCTACATTTTGATTTGTAATAGAGGATAGATGTAGATGTCTATGGGCCGCAGCAACCACTTACCATCAGGTGGACTGTGTGCTCGTTTGTCACCCTTATTCTATAAAAAAAAAAGTTGTGATATAAAAAAAAAACATTATTATGATTTTGGTTGGCCCATCAAAAGTCTGAACTTAGGTCTCCCCTTAAAACAACACCTTTGCATTTGAAGTAGTTGCTGCGAGTAAAAGGTCATAAATACATTAATTTTGTTCGTTCGTAGAATAGAGCTTAATTATTTAAGGATGTCTATACATTTTAAGAGGACTACACGAGCTAAGTGACCTCGAATGACGCACGCACACATATACGCAATTTCTGTATAGCATCAGTCAGTATCATCTGTCGGTATACAGGCGTTTACGCACACATGCATACGTATTATGTTTCAAAAAAAGAATATGCGATTAAAAAAAAATCTATTGATTAGACTATTACGTTATTATATTGCTTGTAGAATAATCTGACAAAAAATCAGAATTATTGCATGTATATAAGTATGGGCTTTAATCATTAAAAGAAATTGTTGGAGGTATATTTGTGATTTTTTGTATCGCATCAAATTAGTAGTATCATGTTTTATGTATCATGTATGTCTATTTGGTGGACAGAAAAACTGTTAATATTAAGTCAGCGAGACGAAGTAAAGAATGTAAACATGTTATCAATATGCGGTACTACTGTCAGGTTCTTTGAAATGTGATAGAAGTATTACGTGTGCTTTCAATTCGTGTTTTGTTTGGTCTGTTGTTACAAATCCATTGTCGTAATAGTTAGGTTTTCTTGTAAATTATAGAAAACTGTCATCATGATCTACTGCTCTAGATCGGACTAAAAGTAATAATTAAAAAGCTGAAGGTACTCCGGGTTAACTCTGATATCGGAACGTCAATCACCTCAGTCTCCTGTAACCATGGATGTTGGAAAGCGCCCGAAACTTCGTGAATAAAAATTAAGTAAATTAAACGCGATAAAACCCGTAAAAGTTGTTTTATTCAATGTGTAGTGTTGGCGTAAATATAAGAAATAATTATCATGATTAATTGTAAACAATATCTATCATTTAAATAAAACTAATTTTACGCATTTTATCGCGTATATTAACTTATTTTATATTCCCGACGTTTCAAGCACTTTACAGCACCCATGGTCATGGGGGGAACTGAGGTGTATGACGTCCCAATGTCATAGTTAATCACGGTTACCTCCAGATTAAAAATTATTAATTTTTGTTCTGATCTACGCAGTATGAACTTACAGTACCATGAGGTCTTGCAGTTGTATGTTTGGGTTGGGATTTAATTTTATTAATTATGGGATCCGAAGCAGATGGTAGCACCCAGCCATCTTCTCTATTGAAATTAGGATGTTTTTTGATATCAATAGCCTCGCGAATCATCCTTGGAAGGAATCGGTGTTATTTAGCGAGGATTTGTGGTCTATCAAATCTAATGTAGTGACAGCGGCGATCCTGTACGTATTCACAGACTGCAGACTTCCCGGAGCGTCGCCTCTTCACATCATCTATGTGTTCTAGAACGCGGGTTTTTATGGATCTTTTAGTTTGTCCTATATAAGAGAGAGACCACATTCACAATCAAGCTTGTACACTCCTGCATCTTGCAGAGGAATATTATACTTGACTGATGGTAAAAACTGACTAATCTTATTCGCCGGCTTGAAGTATGTTTTAATGGAAGCACGCTTCAAGATGTAGCCAATCTTGTCAGTGACACCTCTGACATATGGCAGTACAGCAGGCACTCGCTCGACTGTGGCCGGCTTCACTCGTTCACTGTGACGTAAGCGCGGGACCCGAAGTTTATTGTCGTGCAAAACTTGTTTGACGTGTTGGAGCTCGGCGGCCAGGTGTTTACTGTCACAGATCCCTCGTGCTTTCTGAAACAAAGATTTACCCACGGTAGCTAACTGTGAAGGTTGGTGGTGAGAATCGCCGTTTAAATATCTATCTGTATGGGTCTTTTTTCTATACACAGTGTGGCTCAAGGTGTTATCAGGATTCCGAATTACTAACACATCTAGAAAAGCTAAAGAATTGTTTGCCTCTAACTCCATTGTGAACTGAATTTTAGAATTTAAGGAGTTAAGATGGTCTAAAAATGCAGTTACTTTATCTAAAGGTAGAATTGTGAAAGTGTCGTCTACGTACCGCTTGTAGAATCTTGGGTTTACAGGAGAAGTAAGCAGGGCTTTCTCCTCAAAGTCCTCCATGAATATATCGGCGACAATGGAGATACAGGTGAGCCCATCGCTACTCCATCTACTTGCTTGTAGAACTCCTCCTTCCACAATAGGTAGCCAGATGTAAGGCAGTGTCTGAGTAATACTGCATATTCTACGGGCATGTTGTTTTCCTCTAGCCTTCTAGTAACAATCGAGATGCAGTCTTCAACAGGTAAGCATGTGAATAGAGACTGCACCTCAAAACTGACCATAGTTTCATTGTCTGCCAGATGTAGGTCTTTAATCTCGCTGACAAAATGGTAGGAATCCTTTGTGTGTGCTCTTGTATGTCCCTCGAGCGGTGAGAGTATATTCGCTAAGTGTTGAGCCAATCTGTAAGTTGGTGAATCGATTTGGCTCACTATGGGATGTAGTGGAGCATTGGGCTTGTGTATTTTTGGTAACCCATACAACTTCGGTGGTTTGGCACACGTAGGTATTATCGATTTTACGTCTAGATTTAATTTTTCGGAGTGTTTCTTTATGAGATCACTAGTTGCTTTAAATGTGTTATTTGTTGGGTCACTTTTAACCTTTTTATAAGTCCTTACATCCTACAAAAGTTCTTGTATTTTAGAATTATAATCCGCCGTATCCATGACTACCGTGGCATTTCCCTTGTCTGCGTATATATATATATATATATATATATATATATATATATATATATATATATATATATCAGTTGGGACTCAAGATTAGAGATATTTCTACTAGTTCGGACTCAAGACAACGATAAATAAGTTTATCGAAGCGAATCAAAATGCAGATGCGTTGTCACCCGTGAGGACTAAGATAGAATGCCTCATTTCCAGTAAACAGGGGCCTCCGGCCACCTGCACTCACCAAGCGAAACGCAGAGGTAAACCTCTACTTCACGCTGGTATTCACTATTAGATAAACAAAAAATCCTCATATAAAAATTATTATATAACCGTAAAAGTTTATTAATACTCTTTATCTCAATTCATTGGCTTCAGATACGAGTATGTAATAAAGGCATGCTTCGGTACAAAAACATATCATGTTAGAAAAATCCTTAAATTATTTTGTTTACTTTCAGGTATGGAGCCTACAGGGCAGGCAATTATACCTGAAACCATATCTACTAATCTTTAATAATTACTAATGTAATAATAAATTAGTTATAATTTTCTGCCGTTGTTTACGTAAATAAAGTTGATTATGGGTAAATAATATTAATATGAAGTAAGTACATACTAAAAGTAGCCATTCCTTTCATTGCGATCGATTTAGAATTTTATTGTGTAAGCAATAAGATTGACGTTTGTTCTTAATTTATATTTGGTATTATTAGTTTATATTTAAAATCATACTTTTTTTTCGTATAACGGCATGGCAGTATGATTGTCAGTATAACTGACTATCTAGTAAAATTCTAGACAATAATAGAAATAATACATTTTATAAATCTGATATATACGATATGTATTTGTTACGTTAATAAATAAGTATATTAATTATTTTCAAACGGAAAACTTTAACATGGTTTTGTAAGTCTTTGTACTAATTAAACATTAAAGCGATTGTAAAATTGTTTTATTATTTAAGATAATAATCTTTATAGTCTTACGTTTTAAGTACAATGATTGACTTAGGCCTTCCTCAGAGATTCACAGCCCTAAGTCATAGTGCGATGTGGGGAGCTTCGGGTAAATGGAAGCCTCGGGACGATAGTTCAAAGAAGACTACTGGATTGTCCTGACTCCTGACTGTCTCCACTGTACTGTTACGAGCTTGGGGTTCGAGACAATTAAAAACTGCCGATTGAATTACCAAAATTGACGCTTTAATTACACAACACTAATTACAATCTAAAACCACACTAATAATAAAACGTAATTGTACTACTGATCACTTTAGTTCACAGTTGTTTCGCTTCGAAGTATTCTCTTGTATCGCCAATTCAATACTCCCCCGGTCGTAGTCTATACCGGGCTTATATAGGGCCTCAGATAGTTCCCAGAACCTTGTACGGTAGCGACATCTAGAATGTTCGAGTACATATCGGTCCCGAAATTCCTAGGATCTTGACTCTCCTAGTTCTGCTACTCGACACTAGAGCTGCTACTCGGCGCTAGTGATGACTAGTTTTGCCATGTACAAGACATTAATAGTGGCGCACAAAATTACCAAAGAAAGGTAAAGGTTCACGTTGGTATGTAGGTCGGTTCAAGTGACGGTTGCCACTGAATTATCTTCAAGTTACATGGTATATATCTTATTACAATACTTATATGGATAAAGACTCAAGTTACATGGAATAGTCTCAAATATAGTTTTCATTAGAAATAGTGTTTAATTACAGTATTCATAGAATTGATCAACTCTTATCTACCTATCCTACACTACAATAGATCGGTTGTCCGGTTTACAAGATGGTAGACACCTACATGGACACCTGCAGGCAACTTCAAATGATGAGGATCACCTCTAAGGACTATAATGGAATGTCTCACAGCGTCTGATTATATTGACACTGTATAGTCTATACCCTGCAGAGCGGTTCACAGCAGTGCAAGTACTAACTATTTGGCGGCAGAAATAGGTAAGAAAATTGTATATACTTTAAGAAGTCTGAGGCAAAAAGCAGTCATACCTCCTACTGCTAATAATTTATAGACGGCGAGGCTATTACACTGCAGCTGTGACGGATGCTTTTATGTTACTACCATGCATTAGTAATGTCCAATACTTGTAACTGGCTGTTCCTTTTTACTGTTACTGTTATTGTTTATTTATTACAGTTGGGTTTCATGTGTTTGCGTGGAACCTTAATTCATTTTCTAAAACAAAAGTAGCGTATGTTACTTCTTATAACATCAGCTATCTGCCAGTAAAAGACCCATCAAAATCGATGCAGCCATTTCGGAGATTAGCTGGAACAAAGAGACAAAAATTTTTAGAATTGTTTTTTTTTGTTAAACGTACCGTATATACTTTCATATACATTTAATAAAAAGTATTTATTTTGACATTACAAACAGACACTTCAATTTTATTTGTTTAGGTTTTTTTTATAGGATAGAGTGACAAACTAACACAGTCCACTTGATGGTAAGTGGTTGCTGAGACCCATAGAACATCTACATTTATCCTCAATTAAGAAACTAAATGCAGATACGTTATCACCCCTGAGGATTAATAAGATGAAATGCCTCTTTTCCAGTAAAAAGGGTCTTCGGTTCTCTACACTCACCATACGAAACAGCAGTGTTAAGCTGCTGTTTTACGCTGGTATTCTGTGAGAGTGTGGCCCTTCCCCGGTGGAGCCGACCCATTCGTGCTACAACTATACTGCTAATATAGCAGCAGCATGGCTCTACCACGTGTAAATGTCCTATATCCATAATTATATTATATTGATTTGTAGCTTCAATAAAACATACATATTTTAGTTTTATTTCTTCCATTAACATTTTGTCATGATTTTGTTGTGTGACGTGATCGCTAAACATACCTACTCCAAATAACCGCCATGTAGATTTGCCTGGCGTAAAATATATTAAAAATAAATCACAAGTTACGTAAACAAGTTATTTTTGGTATTTACAAAATAACAGTGTCCGTGCATTTTTCAGTGTAACTGCATTCCTTAATTCCTTTATGTTCTGGCTGGTAGTGAAAATTACAAAAATGCATCCCTGTTGCGAGATCACGCAAAGAGAATAACACCACGAGGCGACATAAGCCCAGTGTTTATTCCAAAGACGTGACAGAGATGACAATAGATTCGCCGCTTACATACAGAGCTTTGCTCTACGCGGTAGAGATCAAACCACGTGGATAATAAAACACCTTAACGTGACCTGACAACCCGACCATATTTTATTACCTAGCTAACTAGGTAATTGGACAGAGGTTACAAATTGTTACTTTAAATTTGTGCATTCTGATAAAACTAAACGAATTCGAGTGGCGGACAATGGTGAAGAATTTTATAAAAACAAAATATGACCTATACAATTCCCGTTTTTTTTTTTGCGATTATGTCGCTCTATTTGACATCATTTAGAACTAAATAACATTCAATTTAATAAGCAAACAAAAATAAAAAAAGTACTATCTAATTGACGATCTGAGGAAAATATATACTGACTAATCGCTATGGCTCGTTTGAAGTACAATATCTCGCATTCGAATTGAAATTCCAAATTCAAAATTAATTTCATAATATAACTTAGGTACAACATTGTTTTTGTACAAAATCTGCTGTTCAAAGAGTATGTAAATCACTAGATCTACAATTTCAGTTTTCTGATACTGGCTATAGCTCGTTTAGAGTAAAATATCTTGTATTCAAATTAGAATTCCAATTTCAAAATTAATTTCATAATATTTAACTTACAACATTGTTTTTGTTCGAAACCAGTTGTTCAAAGAGTAGAATCACTAGGTTTACAGATGTTCATTTCCTCTAGTGGAAACGGATTCATCTCAATTTAGACCAAATTTGGTATTTAATGTACATCGAGAAAACGATATCGATCCATTTGTTTCAAACACGTAAATAAGGTGTCGTATGTACCTATTTAATAATGAAAACAGCAAACTCGCGTGGAAGCTTGCCTTAATTCTTTTAATCGACAAACAACCAATTCTCCATCGAATTTTTTAATTTATAATAGGATTGTCATTTGTGTTCAAAAGTAAATGGTACATATATGATAATCGAACATGTTTGTTGCAGTGGTTTGACCAAAACGAAGCTGCTTGTGGTTATATGATGTATTAGGGACCTGGCACATATAGAAGAGATTTATTAATTGTAACTGAGACTTTAATGCCTAGCACTCAACTCAAATGAGTCCAGTATTTGCCATAAAGCAATCCTGTCAATTCTGTCATAAGCATAGAAAACTGTAGGATTTTTGTCCAAAAACTTCTATGTACCATCCCATCCCATACAGCAGGCCTGCTACCACTCCCTTTTCAGCCCTTAGCATTTTTAGTGCCACTCTACACCCCCCCCCCCCTAGTTATCTGTTATCTGTTTTTATACCTTTCATTTCTTTCATTATTTCATCTATGCTTATCTCATTACCTCACTCTTATTTCAGTTTCTAGTTCATTTAATTTTGATAGCTCCTCATATATAAACTCGATTTAAAAATACGATTACGAAGTACGAAATCTCTATTATAACTAAGACGCTTTGTGTTACTAACAATTTGTCCGACTTTAGCTTTTCCCAAAATAAAGGATTATTATAATTCGATACATTTTTGTTACATGTGCCAACAATCATCATTACAAATCTACTACTGAACATAGGTCTCTCTAAGGAATACAACAAAGTCAGGTCCTGTGGTAACGATGTTAGTAATAATTTATTATTCCCAATATTGCACACCTCGAACGCGAAGCGGAGAGTTTGCGCTCTACTGTCGAATTTTTTTTAAATCACTCGTTTCAAGTCGTATTTATTATTTTATGGAAAATACATGATTAGAAAGAGGAAATGATCAAGCCTGGTGCTTTTTTTTTATTCAATAACACGTATTGTTATAAAAAAGCCGGATAACAAAAGTATATTGTGGATGTCCTTTAGTCTGTGGTTCAGAAATTCTCTGTGTACAAGATATCTCGAGAACTCCTTAACAAAACTACCTGATTTTTTTCACTATCTTCAGAGTTATGTAGAGCTGGTTCCTTTCGATAATCACTTCTGTAGTAGTCCATTTCGTCCGTTCTTAGTTTTTTTCTTTCCTTTTTTTTAATTGCTACAAATACGTCAAATTTTTCGTTTGATATTCTTCATTTGTTCTTAGATTGAGTGACTCTTATGTATGCAAAGAAAAACGTGATTTAATCATATTTACTGTTACGTCAGATGATCTGGAGCATGCGTGTTAACATTATTACAAATAACTGAAGCAATTAATCAACTAAGATATCTTACCAAAAGCTTTTAAAGCACTTTCCCTTTGGATGACCCCAATGCATTAATAAAAGCTTTAAATTGTTATTAGTTTGCGAGGTATCAACCAAAGTCGATGTACATTTGCAGAATATTTTTTTTAGTTTCGTGTATATAATAAGGCCCGAAGACACCTACATCGATCCTCAATTAAGAATCAAATGGGAAATCGAGGTGT